CCAACGTATAACGTAACAAAAGATAGCCTAAATAGAGCATCCTTTTTACCGTTTTGAGAAGAAAAGTTGCAATCAATCAGTCAATTTGCATCCAAACAATTTAAGACGGAATCGACTAAGAATTTTTGTAATTTTAATTTTCAGTGGACAAAAACCTTGTGAGAATAATTTAAACAATATCGAATTCTTTTTTACACTTTTCAATGACTATAGAGGTATAATAATAACACCAGAGGCAATTTCTCATCGTAGCCAAAAATAAATGTCATATTTCAGACGAAATGTGAAAACACAGATAAAATTTTGAAACTTCATGTGTAAGATGTCATTTTGTGAAATTTAAAATTTGTTTTCACGGGCTCCCATAAGAAATTTTCTTTGATGTTATTACAGATAACTAATTACATCTATAGCCCTTGAAAAATAAGAAAAAGAATGCAATACTTAAAATTATTCTGTTACAAGGTTTGAATTTTAAAATTAATCAATTTCCTGATGGATTCTGTCTTAAAGAGGTTAAAGCTCTATGGCGGTTCGGACATATTTCATCATCCCCACTGTATTCACAGTGCAATGGCGAGGTCGAGCGGGCAGTACAGACCATGTACGAAGCCTGGCAGTCGCAGAATTTGATCTTGTATACTGCTCCCTGTCTGTCCTCTGTCTTTGTCCTTGACATTAGTAAGAAGTCGTCGTAAAATGGTTATCGGTTTGTGTGCAACACGTATATTGTAAGGTTGTAATATACATGCGATAGTTTCAAAGGTGCCTCTGATGTACGGTACAGTCGCTGTCGTAACAGGCCCAGAGTGGACGTTGGGCTAAGTGTTGGAATCAGTGTTACTGTGAGTGTTCCGTCTAACAAAGTACGTGTTGTAATTGTTCTTACCAAAAACGTTGTTAAGATAATCAGTCTCGTCTTGTAGGCTGTCCGGTAAGTCGCAAACTAGTTTCGCTCGTCTCGGCAAAGTCCGGATAGTAATAGCCTTGTGAGAGGTCGGGTTGTAAGACTGGGCCGGATTATTCAACGTTGGGTTAAGATAACCCAGGGTTAGTGCGAAATTTGAAACGTGAAAGCTTAGAAAGCAAATTCAGTTAAATTCTCTTTTGCCTACAATTTGATGATTGCCCACTCTCACAAGAATAGAGGAAATTGGTAGAGAAAATACTTTGATGAAAAGAAAAACAGACCTGGGTAAAAATTTAATCCTGGGTTAGCGCTAATCGGCCTTTGAACAACTGGGCTCTGGTCTCTGAGTAATCGGTTGGTATGTGTCGGTTTTCTGTAAATATTCGTTTGTAGTTTGTTGTTGTCGCGAGTGACCAAGGAGTCTGTGGCTCTACTTAAACGTAATAGAGCGGGCTGAATTTAAAAAGAAAAAAAATGTTGCTAAATTGTTGAAAAAAAGAAAACGATTTATCAGCACTTTGCGATAAAGCAAAAAATATCAGTTGTTATTCGTGTTTTAACATCTCTTTTATCTTTCTCTTTCTCTTTTCATGTTGATAATCCGTGAATATCAGGCAGAAAAGTACCTCACCGTAAGTAAAACCTTTTCCGTTTTCTCATTTGAGCTTGTTGCCTCTGATAATGTAAAATATAGATGCAGATTCTTCCTTTTTTGCCATGTAATCCAGGCCCGACGATTTTAAAGTGCGGTGACTTGTTAATCTACCTTAAACCATAGTTTTGCCTGATCTTATTTTGGTTTTCTTTTTTTTTTATGTTGTTGGTCAGGTCCGATTCAATCAATTCCTTTGGGTAAGTAAACTATGTTACCGTAACGGTCTTGTACTTTGTCATGTCCTAATTGTTTGGTTAGTTGATGAGAATAGATACAGCAGATATTCAGACGGTCCTTTTTTGTCTTAAATTTGGCGACTCTGTTCTGTCAGTCATGATGCAGCAAACTTATGCAGGTAAATCTGTGTTAAACGGGGCGTGTTAAATTGGGCGTTTGCAATAGACTGCGTAATAGCGTTGCGACATCTTAATACACGAGGCTTTGGTAATCCTGCAGGTTTAGGTGTATTATGACTACTAGAGGCGGGAAGCAGGCCGAGAAAGCCCGTGCAATAAGTTTTTTTTTAAATATAAAATAACGTATTCTTCTTGATATTTCAAAAAGCCTCTTCATGCAACTTAACGTATCCCGGTGCTTGCATGATGGCTTTGCCCCAGCTAGAAGACCTAGAAAAATTATTCGTAATGCTAAGAGACAGGCTTTTTGTAGGCAGCATAGCAATGCAGGGACACTGCAAGGTGCCGGTCTAGCTCTGTTCAAATGAAAAGTTCAGTCTACAATTTTCTTTATTCTTTAGTTCGTTGCTGTTCCTTGTCAGTCATGTTCCTTGTTCAGTCATAAAACGAGCAAGGTTTTCGCTTTTAAAATTTTTCTTGACAGGTTTCCTTTTTTAAAAAACTGAAGTGTTAGTTTATTAAGGGAAAAGCAAGGGTTTCTGAGAAAATAAGGGTAGTAAAAAATGAGAAATCCAATTGGGAAGCTCTCGTTGTTTCTCTCATTCTCATTCTTGTGTTCTTTCAAGTTGTTTTCATTTTTCTTGGGTTGATCACGTAGTCTATGAGGGACACAATTATCATTCTTAGCAAAATTAAGCAGTGTCTGTCGTACTACTTCCGTCTATATTTCAGTTCAGCACAGGAAAACTTTGTTTTGCTAACTTATTATCTATTTTTTGTGCGGCTGTTCCATCGACTACGAGTTTAACTAAAGAATACTACATTATAATTCACAACATTGCTAACAAATGAAAATAAGAGAATAGTTCTTTGCGGTAAAGCAAATAATGTCAGAGTTGGTATTAGCATGTTGAATTATCAGAAAGGAAAATAATGGTGGTAGAAATAGCTACTATCCTGGGCAAAAGTCTTCTGGAAAGTATTCATAATTTCGGTATTCATGATAGTATTCATAAATTTCTGTAATTTCTTGTCTCCCTCATAAAATGGCCTGTGTACAGACCCCCTCCCCCCCATCCCCTCAGTGAAAATCGGTGGTGGGGGTTGGATTATTCCTGAATAATTAATTAGGGCATGTTTACAGTTCAGCATGAGTCAGCAGATTTGCATCAGTTACTATTGTTTAGCCTGTTTAGTATTTTCTTGAACCTTAAGTCAAACGGTATACTAGTTCCAAGCGAGTTCTTTTGACGAACTAAGTTTTTTCCCACGAGCTGGAGTGCTGTGTTTAGTCAAGTGCGACGAAGGTCGAGTTTTAAGTTCTGGAAGCCGTAAGATATCTGAAGTTCAAGTGAGAGTTTGTTATTATTGGCAGAGGCTGTTTAGTTTTACTTAAGTTCAAGTCAAGTTTGTGTTGGAGGATGCTGTGTTTTACAGCTTTGTAAAGACTATGTTCCTTTGGTATTAAACTTCCTTGTGATGATCCGACATCCCTCCCTCTACGCCCATGGTGAATTGTTCAAAACATTCGAACTCGTAACATTGGGTTTTAGCCAATTCCATGCTCAACGTAATTGACTCCTTACCCATGCCTTACATATCTTCATAGAGGTTTTTCTCCGGGTACTCCGGTTTTCCCCTCTCCTCAAAAACAAACATTTCCAAATTCCAATTCGACCAGGGATCAGGTAGATGAAGAACCACTTTGTGGATGTGCTACCTCTAAATCATGTTTTTGAAGCCTGATGTAAGAAGAATAGAGAATCTTTTTTCACTGTTTGTTTTGTTAGACTTTTTATTCACCGCCAGTAACCTCATATTTGACTTAAGTCTAAACGTTTAGACCCAAGTCAAATTTAGAAGGATTTGTATGGAGTCATCAGAGCATAACTGGGCTAATATCTCAGGATAATTTGCTCCGAAATGCTAGTTTTTGGCGAGTAGGTCTCTTGGATGTTGCTCTTTTCAGAATATCCTGACAAATCCCATAATTTCGCAAATTAACACCTTACTCTACCGTATTTCACTTCTTACGATTCCTCCGCATTTACAATTAATCAGTTCCACAACCACGACGCTGAATTGTACGCTCCATAGTGTCTTGTTTCTTGTTGTGTTGATGATCACTGAATATAAACGGTTGGGTTTGGGTCATAAATTTGGGTAGACGTCGGCTCGAGGATTTTAAAGTGTGGCTTGATAATCTTAGTTAAACCATTTTTTGCGTTATCTTATTTTGGTTTTCTTTTTTCATTTTTCATGAGATTTACTCAGGGTAAGTACTGTTTTGTTACGGTCTTGTACTTTGTCGTGTACTAATTGTTGCGTCAGTAGATGTGAATAGATGCTGCAGATATTTAGACAGTTTTTCTTTTTAACATTTAGCGACTCCTCTCTGCCAGATGTAATCATGATTGCCTGCGGAGCAACTTTAAACAGGCAAACCTGTGTGGTCACCCATGGGGATGATATATAGGGCTACATATAATGAAAATGATTCAAATGGGGAATTGGCAGTTGCGCGTCAGGTTTTGGTAGTGCAGGCTTTAGCGTATTATGACTTCAAAAGGCAGCAAAGCCTTGCAATTACTTTTGTTAAAGGAGCGTAATTTTTTTTGCTTTATATATTAAAAAGCTTCCCATCGTCTCTATGCACCTCAATCTAAGAGACAAGCTTTTTTGGAGCCAGCTCAGCACTAGGGACTCTGCAAGATGCCGGTGTACTAAAGATTAAATTAATAAGTAAATATGAAAACTGATCACTTCCACCATGTCCACCTTAGACTTAACGCGATCTTTTGCTTCACTCGATTTGAAGAGCCATAGCCTGTGACTGGAGGAGGCCTAACCTCTCAGCTTCCTATAGTTTCTGTTAAGTCTCCTCGCCATTAATTTTCTACTTAATACCTTATATTTTTACATTTCTTTTATCGTGTGGCAAATAAATAAATGAATTAATTGATAAAATAGTAAGATTTATAAAAAGGCTCGCAACTGTACTGTCTGTACTGTCCGAGAACGATTTTTTTTTTTTCATTATTTTGTGGTGATAGGTTTTGGTGAAGATGTTAATCCTGGTCGTGTCCTGCCGGAAAACGACCCAACGTGGAAAGCAGGAGGAACAACATTACAAGGATACAGCTCCCAGTACTTCACCACTGCTGACCCAATGAAGGTTGATTCTTCAAAGAAGGTTGAATTGCTGTTGAGGCTTGTAGCAAGGTAAAACGTCTTCTCTTTTATCATCATCATCATCATCATCATCATCATCATCATCATCATCATCATCATCATCATCGTCATCATCATCATCGTCATCATCATCTTCGTCATCATCATCGTCATCGTCATCGTCATCGTCGTCGTCGTCGTCATCATCATCATCATCATTGTTGAACAGTTAATGAATAAGGCTGAGTATCTTATGAAGAATTACGGAGATCGAGGAGGGTGTACAGCCTCGACGGATAACACCCTCCGAGATCTCCATAATTCTTCATATGATAAGAAAGCCGAATTCAATAATCGTTTTATTATTCATTCAAAATAATTCCTAGTTTAAAAACATAGCTAAAACATGCTTACCTCCATCGAACCATCGATGTTAAGTTCATCTTCGATAGTGTACCTTTAGGTTTGTCCAGCGCCGCAAATATTCTCCAAATAGCAGATGTCGCCCTCCGAGGTTGTCTTCTTGCTGTTTTTGTTATGTTTTTAGCTATTACTTCTCGTAGTTCCAACTGTAGTTCTTACTCTTGAAACGAGTGAAGTGTCGGCCATTTTTGTTTTCACAACCAAAACAACTCAACCTCGTCCCCAGGTCTTCTCGGTTAACGGTTCATTAACCCGTAGAAGGCTGCATTTTTGACGTCATTTCCTCGGTAAACACAAAATTCTTCTAAATTTGGTCATCAGTAACTGGTTATGGGGAATTATGCGTGTGCTTTTAGCCAATCAGAATTGGGGAAATATTTTGGATGAAGAATAATAACCATTAAACTTTAAGAAGAATAAATAAATTTAAATAGAACTGATGATTTGTTTGTCATATTTTTTGAAATTCATAATTTTAAAATGACTGAATAGTTTCCAGTTCGGTCATATATTATGTAATTGTATTAGGGCATGAAGTCCGTTTTTTTTTTTTTCAATCCATAGTATGACCACATACAATATCACTGACTACACGAAGTTTTCTAACCATATTTATCAAAACTATGTGGCGAAATAGTTGTCCTGATGATGATGATCATAATAATAATAATAATAATAATAATAATAATAATAATAATAATAATAATAATAATAATTATTATTATTATTATTATTATTATTATAGTAATAACATAAAAAAATACACACAAAGTGATAGTCTTAAGGTATTGTTTGATGACAGTCCCAGGAATTAAAGAAGTCCATCATCCTTGAGACAGCAGTCAACAGCAACTGTTGGCGTCAGTGTCATACAGTGTTTTATTACACTGTTTAATCATGCTGAAATGAGCTTAATCAGATCAGAGGACTGTCTGTTGTGTCTGTGGAGGATGTAGGGTGTTGTTATGGTTCGCCCTTGGAGTATTGATTGCATTTATGCGCTAGCGCACACCTCATTGCCTTGTATGTGTAGGGCAAGTTTCTGCCTGTCTGAAATCTTCTTTTCCTTTCTTTTACATGGTTAAAGCAGGATAAATCAACTCACAACTTACCAGCTAGAGGGAAACAGTTCATTCTGTTTCTCGAGAATCTCAATGTTTCCCGAGGTGAAGCCGAAAGAAACGTAGATTCTTGGGAAACAAAGGGCGGGACCAGTCTTGAAGTGATTTGTTAGATAGCTGGAAATTTTGAAGCTGGAACTCCATCATTAAACCTCGCTGTAACGGCAGTCGCTGGTCAACATTCGCACTTTTACCCTCTGACGTCATAGATTTTGTAATGTTGCTCGATCAGGTATGACCTCGAAGGGGACCAGTGAGAACGCGCGTTGTCATGAAGAACTTTCCAACTATATAACAATACCCACTGTATTCCTTATACACCTATTTCAATTAAGGTTGGTTCAGAGAAGAATGATGCATGATCCATGTTTCATGGCCCGCGGTGCATTATTGTAGCAAGTCAAGTAAATTATGTGCCCGCAACGAACTTGACCCCAGAAAGCAAACGCTGCTGACGCTTCTATGCTACGTCAGCAGAACGTTAAAACAATGTATTTCAAAACGCTGAATCCTATTCCAGGCTTTTTAATTTGAGACAGTGATTTGAGGTTAGGTTTTTCTCTATGATAATATGCAAATGCTACAAATTTTCAACGAGTTTGCCTGGCTCGCACACGTGAAAATTTTGGATAGAGTTAAAAAGAAATCAAATTCAAGGCGTTTGTTGAACAACAATAAATAACTTAACATTACGTGTTTAATTATTTTTGAGGCAATTTTTTTAAAACTGAATATATATATAAAGAATAGCGTTGATTTGCTTTATTGAAATAACCAGCATTCTGGCCCATGCAAAAACACGGCAGCTATTCATTTAATGTTGTTAAAAGAAGAGGCTTCCAATTTTTTACTATCAGATTTTAAAAATGAAATTTTTCAGCTCGCTTATGCTTAAGAATTTTAGCAGCCATTTGACTTGAAAGCTCTCTTGAACGCCTTTTCACAAATGGTCTCCATTATTTCATGATCAATGAACGTGAGCAAGACTAAACTTTCTGCTACAAAATGGGTTTACCACAGTGCACTGCAGGCTATGAAACATGGTTCACGGGAGCAACCTCAATTAAAATAGGTGCGTTGACCTAGACCGAGTTTTGAACCTAACCCCTTTTACTTTCATTTTCAGAGAGGACGAGACAGACCTTGTTTTTCCCAAAGAGGACTTCAAACCGCTGTCCACCTTGTGTCCACCAGCTGTACCAGAGTAGAAAGGGACAGGAGCGAGACATAGTTTATAATTTAGCATGCAACTGTATTAAATTTGAGCTAGTAGCTTAAATGTACTCTTCATTTCATTTCCAGAAGTCAGCTATGATAAAAAAAAAAAAAAAAAAAAAACTTTTCGGATACCAAAATAAACCTATCTAAAAATTAATTAAAAACTTATAGATTTGATTTGTTAAAAAATTTATAAGGCTAAATTAATACAAGAAGAAAAGAAAAAA